AAGAACTCGTAGGATTCTGATTGTAAATCATACTCTCGAGGCTTCTTTGAAGATCTTTTAGCTGGGCTTTGAGACTGGCTGTCTCTGCTTCTTTATGACGGAATTGTGCTGTATTGACCATCATGTTTTGTGCCATAGCCATCCTTTCGTGATGAAGATTGTTAAGCCGGCCATGGATCTCTGTTATTGAGCTCTGAAGGCTAGTTTGCCTTTTGATGTAATTTTCCGTCAGCTGATCAACCTTGTAATTTATTGTTTTGAGGAGTTGATTTTGAGCGATGGCATTCTCAGTTTGCCAGTTGAGGACTTTTTCTCCTTGGCTTAGTTGATCTGGTCCAGAAGAGTTGATTGCTCGAGTGAGTATCTTTGGGCTATGTGCGATGTTGTCCTTGGTAAAGTTGCTTGAAGGAGGGAAGTCTTCGTTGTTGATCATCATGATTTGATTTTCATCTTTCTTTTCTGAATATTGGACTATAAAGTCGTATCGCCCGTTTCCTTCACCGAGAGGACCGACGGTGGGATCTCCTTCTAGATATCTTTTGTAGAGCGGATCCTTCTTCTTTCTTCTCCTTGTGCGAATCTCGTCATCAGATTCGTACATGGCTTCTTCACATGCTGAGCAGGAACAGATATCGAAATATTGATGTCCATCTTCATCTTTGAAGGGATATAGTACCGATCCGTTTTGTCCAAAAGAGATTGGTTTAGGATTTTGTTCTTTTGCTGGACTATAGAATTCGCGTTCGTCAATTTGGATAGCAAATTGAGTGAACAGTTGTTTGCGGAATGACGATGATCTTGGTTTTTCGAACTTGATTTCGGTTGTACCATCATTTCGTGAATGAAAGCTGACTTCGGAGGATTGAATCGGTGTTTGAACCGCTTGGTGCAGCTTCTCGTAGCTGGTGATCCATGATTCTGGTAGTCGGCGGAGCAGCTCTTCGCGAGATATTTGACGAGGGATCTGGATGGAGTTTGGTGCTTGAGATGCTGAAGTGACTTCTAGGTAAAGTGCTTCATCAGAAGAGGGTAGTACAAGATCTAAGGCATGATCTTGGATTCGATAGACTATCTGATGATGAAGGGTCGCCACGACACTTTTCTCTTGCATAGGAGCTCCGGTGAGCTGAAGTTGGACCTTGAGTGTCTTCAGAAGATTTGGATCTTGTAGCGAGACATTAAAGTTTGGAAACAGTGTCACGAATACTGTTCTGGCGTTTAATGTTGTTTGGACTGTTCCGATGCAAGCTTGTTGGTAGGATTTCAGTCTTGAATCGACCAAGGCGATTCTTGCTACAACAGGTAGACCTTTTCGAGCATGTAGGGTCAAACCGATCCGGACTACACCAAAGTGGAGGTGAGTATACCCTTGTTGTTGCCATAACCTAGGAAGGATCTCCGGTATGTTGAGCGAGATGAATTGTTCTTCTTCGGTTGCTAGGATTTGACAGGATGAGAATTTGCTGGACTGGACATATTCCATGACTTTTCGATTGGAGGATGGCCTGATGAGTTCTCGAACACCTTTAACCGAGAAAGCACTGGGCTTTTTGGCAAAGTATTCATATGGATTAACAAGAGGGAGTGTGGTTTCAGGTAGCTGATCTCCAGGGACGTATTCAATTTCGTAGAGAGAATTGATACTAGATGAGGAAGAACAGCTTTTTGATTTTGGTAAAGTGGAAATTGAAAACGGAGAATCGATGGTTGGAGGATTTGGATTTGAAATTGACATGATTAAGGGATCGTTTTCCAGAACATTCACAACAATCATTCATAAACAATGATTCATTCAATCATAACATGAGTCGAGACTTTGATACCATAATACACTAAAGTGCTTGGATCCTCAGCACCAGGAAAAGATTTGATATTAGGATGGGTAAGGGATCGTTTTCCAAAACATTCACAACAATCATTCATAAACAATGATTCATTATTACTCAATAATATATAATGATGAAATCTCCTTCGACCCAAAAAAGAAGACGTTAATTAGTCCAAAACGTAAATGGGCCCCCTATATGGTGGCAACTACGAAGAAGTTTGGATAATGGGAACCATGTAAGGATGTCACCAAACCCATTGACTTTGCCGTCTATCTCAATCATTTGCTTTATCCACCACGAGTTCCCTTATATCAACCATCAAACCAAAGAAAACCAGGAAAATTAGATCAAAAATTATAATTGTATCTAATAACTAGTAGATCATATGAAATTGAGTTACAAAGAACAACCATGATTTAATTGTGCGAAGCCGATGAGAATGAAAACATATAAAACAACATCTGATTCGATTGAAAATTCTGATGTTTCTTTTTTGCTAATTTTATCGTGAGTTTTTCTTGAATAAACAATGTGAAAAAAAAAATTAAAGAAAAGCACACAAAATTTACAAAAAGAGAAACTCTTACATTGTATGATTGTACAACAGAAAATACTGATAGTTTTGCCTATGTTCTAAAATTTCGTAGGTGCTAATCAGGCAGTGGAGAGGGATCTAACACCTAACAAAAAATTAGAAATTAATCAAAGATTAATCGGAAATTTGTTTTAGAATTTTTAAAATAATACAATAAAAATAATAATAAAAATAAAAAATACGCGAAAGCCCTTCGATCCAATAGTCGATCAAAGATTTATTAATATTTATATAGCAGAAGATATGAAAATCGAATCTCTGAGAATACAAATTAAATGAGACCAATTTAGGAGATTTCCAGCATGGTACAAGGAAAGCCATCATCACGCAGGTAGAGTTGTTTGCAAAAACAAATTGTCCAAATAATTGTTCTCGTAATTTATAATAGATATCATTCTAGATGTTTTGGTAAAAAGCTATTATTTGATGGGCTAATGGTTCAACATATTTCATTCTCCTTTCAATTACCAAGTTTGAACTCACTCACATATTGTCATTTTGTCATTTTTTCTCAGTTATTTTAAATGAAGAATAAAATAGTAATTATCTGATTATTTTTTTACTGGGTGCTTCACGAGTTCAGAAACCTTAAAATTGAGGCCACTCATTTTTCAGATAACAAATCTCTGTTTTAATTCTATTTTTTTTCTGGTTTATACATGAATATGATAAATCTAACATGTATTACCTAATTTTAACCTTGAAACACAAAAAAAAAACATCTTATTTTCCCCCAATTTTAATTTGTAACTTATTTTTCCAATTTGCGCTGACGGCCGAGCATTTAATCTGTTGAGGCAACTGCGTTTTGAAACATGAATTTTTGCAATAAACTGTTCCGAGCAGGTGAATATGGTGTCTACATAGAAGTGATCTGTTGTATATATAGGAATTCATGAATTCATGAAGAACAAAAAACGTTATTTTTGTCTGTCTCATTGATTCCACACGCAAAAAAACACAAGGGTAAATAAGTTAGCTTCGAGTACTCATCTTTGTCTTTTTAAACACAAAGACAGAACCCTTCTCACTATTTATGTTGGTGATAAAAACAGAATAAAAAAACACACAGAATCTTACAAGTTTATAATTTGACATGATTCCATAAATTTGGCAGAAAAATACAAATTTATAATATTGACGTTCACACCACAACTCCACGATTTTGACTAGAATAGGATTCAACTATTGTGGTGCCGAAATATGATTTAAGCTTAAAAAATAATTGATTTCAAAACTCCAACGTTAAAACAATGAGTTTTTTTTTATTGGTGATTTAGCGTAAAACCGCGATTCCACAAACTTAGAACTACACAGGATTTTGTAATTTTGGTGGTAAATTGCTATTCTGCATTTCCCAACATAGAAATCATGTGATTCTAAATTCATAATACCCATTCATCAGCAAAATAACGATATTATGATTTTAAAACTACAATATTTTTAAGGAATTAGAAAAAAGAGTAAAAAAATTTGAAATGAAGTCTTTTTTTTTTAAATTATCATTTCGACGTAAAAATATGAATATAAATATGAATTGCACATAATTTCATAATAGATTTTTAGTTTTTTTTTTATGTAATGTTTTCACGGTACAGTAAAAACTCTATAAATTAATAATGTTGGGACTTTGATATTTTATTAATTTATAGAGTTATTAATTTATAGATTTTAAATTAAAATATTCTTTATTAATTTTAAATTCTGAAAAAGATTTTCTTTGAAGTTTATAATATTTAAAAAATTCTTTCAAAAATTAAAAAAGAGTTCTAAGAAGACTTCAATTTAAAATAATTAAAAAAATCACTAAACTCATATTTTGGTAGATTATCTCACTTATATGTTTATATCAAATTTTATTTATGGTAATTATTAATTTATGATAATAATGGGACCATATATTTACATAGAAGTTTTGTTAAAAGTTATTATCTTATTATCTTATTGAATTATGTCATATTTTGATTTGGCCCAACTTGGGACAATGAAAAATTATTAATTTATAGTGTTTATTAATTTATCGAGTATTAATTTATAGAGTTTCTACTGTATTTTGCTGTTTTGTATTCAAACGTAACATCTTAACGCATATAGTACTTCGGCCAAAACAACTTATGATGGAGTTACATTTAAATGTTGCATCCAAACGCAGAACGAATAGCACCAAGTCTATTGGCCTACCATTTGTCTACTAGTCATGGGTGCAGTTGAAGGTACCAAATAGGGATTGAAAATAGTCACTTGAACCAATGATGAAAAAAAAAAAAAACTAAGAGTGTATTAAGCCGGACAGAAAAAAATGATTTCTGAACAACCACCAGCTTAACAACCATATATATGTTAATTTAAACAACTATTGAAATGCTTGACTTCATGCGAGAGTATATTAAAACCTTACAATAAAATAGAATAAACAAGGAAGAAAGTGTTGAGAATGTTATGCAAACATGGCCAGCTCAACGTTTATTTGTTGTAAAAAGTTGTCTTCTTCTCAAACCATTTTCGTATTTATAATAAAGGATGAAACAAAGATTGATCTTTGGTCAGAAACAAAAGTAATTAATTGTTATTGAGAAATGAAAGGAAGGGCCTATGTAATGATCTTCTTCTTCTGGGCTCTTCTCACCATTATCACCCCAATGCTAGTTAGCTGGTCTCAGGCTCTCAAAGGTATACTCTTAACATTAAACTCCATTTATTAGTCAAAGAAAGTGAGCGCTTTTTGTTTCTTGTGTTTCCAAAGAGAAAATATTGAAAATTGCATTTTCATATTCAATAATTCTATATGGATTTTCAGAACATAAAACCAAGGACTCTGGTCCAAGACGAATGATGGGATATTCAGCAGAAATGTACTCGACAATAGAGTTTGTTGACCGGTTAGAAGAAGAAGAGATGACGATGGAGCCGTCGATGGCGCCTACGCCTGAAGATAGCCGTGTTTTGCCTTCGACAAATCAAACTTTAAAGCTGATAAAACAACAACAAGGATCAAAACATAAACATCCTATGAGTTTGCGATAAATTTTCTTTTGTTTGTTTCTGCGATTATCTACAGTAACCTGTTCATAAGCACTTGGTTTGTTTTTGGATACACGAAAGCTAATGCTGGCGAGAGCAGTTCTTGTACATACGTTAAATTTGCATCCCTTTGGCAAAAGCCAATGGTAAGAACATCTTTTATTCTTATTTCTATGTTTTTGGTAAGAAGGATAGAGAAAATAGTTATTGTGTAATTAGTTTGATATTAACAAAACAATCAAGAATTGGTGATGAAAGACAAAAAATGTCAGTAGATGAAGTCTACCAAACGTTAAGGATGTCTTTATGGTATCCGATGTACATTCAACTTTTTTGATCTCATTGTCAGGAATATAAATAGGTGGATTCAATTAGATAAGGCAAGTCCTTGACTTGATGAGGTTAACTAGGTTTATATATGGGTGCTGAAATATGGTCTAATACAAATTCAGGAAGCTCTGTGAAGACTTAGCCATTGAGCTGTTCAAATTGACTGACCGGTTTAGTCCAATTTCAGTGCTTTCATGCTGGCTGGTTAAGTCTGATTCTTGTAAAACCCTTCAATATAAAATAGGTATTAAAGAGAATTTGTTAGAACATTGTAACAAACACTTTGTGCGCATCTTCTTCCACAAGTATCTCGGTTTGTGAGAACTCGTCTCTTTGTTCTAGTGGACCTTGCTGGACTAAGATCTAGCCCAGAGACGTAGCCATCCCAGATCAGAGGTGAACTTTAGGTGAACAATTTTTTGAGTGTTGTTCTTTGTTTCCTTTTGTAACTCTGTTGTTTGTTCTTTCGTTCAAACAAGTCAACTGAGAGAGATAGAGAGATCAAGAGTCATTTAGAGAACCATCGTGAGTCGTGATCAAATACAAGTTGAAATTGATCTTTCGATCAAAGAAGTGGTATCAAAATGAAGGTTGGTGTCGATTTCAATGATGACAATGGTGAATCGAGCCGAGTTGGAGCGATTAGACGGAACTGGCGATTTTTCGCTATGGACGATTTGGAGGATGGCTCACTTAGGTGTTTCAGGATTACATGAGGTGGTTCTAAACTATAACTTCGAGAATGAGGTTCCCGTAACCAAAAAGGAGGGAAAAAAGCAGTCGACAAAGAAGACGAACCAAAGCGAACCAAGGTAATTATTGATTACGTAAAGCTAGGAAAGGATGAACGAGTCATGGATTTGATCATTGTGAAGATTGGAGACCATGTCACTAGAAAAATCAAACGTTGTACCTGTATATGTCTAAGTCTCTTTCAAATAGGATTTTTGTTCAATCAAAGTTCTACACATTCAAATGTGATGATACTATAAGAGTTCTATGAGATGATCTACATTACTAAGAAGAAACAAACTAAGCTGGCACAGAGAAGGTGATGTGGGTGCACTGGGCAACTACAAATTTTATCTTGAACAAGCTGTAAATGCATAGCAAACATATATAATAGTATTTAGGAATTGAATCTACATGGATTTGTGTGTTGAAGACTTGTAATTGATACTAAAGACGATTGTAGACTTAATAGATTAAAAAGAAGTTTTGTTTGTCACTAATTCTAATAAATTAAGCAAGAAAATAAAACTTTGAAAGAAATAGGTTGAAAAACATTGAAAATGGTGCTGGATTTAGGTTTTATCTCTAGGGTTCATGATCTATAATATAAGAAATCTAGATAAGGATTTTCTATGAATCTGGAACTAGAATAGACACTTATAAGATTAGCTAACTCTCATTACCCTAATCATCTAATCACTTTAACTCGACAAGTAGCTTTCGTCTCTTGCCACGAAAGAGATCATGCAATCTTGATTGGAATTCATTTCGGCTCACGCCCCCTCCGTAGGTAGCTTTCATCTCCTACGACGGTTACATCCATAAGATCCAGTTCAGGCAATCTGATACATCACTCTCATGGCTCTGATTAAACTTTAGATCGAACACTGAGTGATCAATCCAACATACAACATTAATAACAAGATGAATGAGAGAGTTATGTAAAATAAGAAATCTTGAGTCTAAAAAAACCTAGATGTTATTGATCATGGGGTCCCTTTCGAGGGCCCCTTTAACCAACAAGGTAATTACTCAGACGTAGCTGAGCTTCACTTCATCATTGGTTTTGAAATAAAAAACAGTAAAGTAATAAAGAGATAAAAGATGAAGAAAAGCTTCTCTTATTGAAAACAAGTTTGGTAAGAAAGCCTTCTACAAAAACATAAAAGTAAAACCTAAAACTAAAATGAAGACAATGTACATAAAAGAAGCTTAGTTACAAAAGACCTAAAGACAATGTATTTATAGTCTTCCATCTCTTCTAGGCGTCTAGGTTGTAGAATAATTGCAGTTTATGACTTGGGCCTTGGTTGGGCTTTTGAGGTTCGGAATTGAGTCCACCACGGGTGAGAGAGGCTGGGCTGCAGTGCAAGGTGCTTTGGTTACAAAAGACCTAAAGACAATGTATTTATAGTCTCCCATCTCTTCTAGGCGTCTAGGTTGTAGAATAATTGCAGTTTATGAATTAGGCCTTGGTTAGGCTTTTGAGGTTCGGAACTGAGTCCACCGCGGGTGAGAGAGGCTGGGCTGCAGTGCAAGGTGCTTTGGCCGAGGGTGAGAGCTACTTTGTCTTTCTGGATTGTGTTGATCTGCCTTAAGTGCATTGATGGTATATGGAGATCTAACAGTTAGATTGCATTGATTCTAAGTTCATTGGAAAGCTAGGTGTCTCCTCTACAATGTCTCCAAATTTGGGAATGTTTAGACGGTTAGAAAGTCTTCATTGGTTGCCAAACTTCTGACAGTCTAAAGTTATCCAAAAATGTACTTTTGCTCTAAAATACACTCCAAAATGCCAAGTTTCTGAGAAATTTTTTAAAATTCTGAAACATAGAAATAACTTATAAAACATTGAAAACTGAGTGAAAACACCTGCATAAGGCATTAAAAGTGATCCATAAAAATGGTAAATATCCGATGTTATCAACTCCCTTAGACTTAAACTTTTGTTTGTCCTCAAACAAAACAAAGATCTAGCTAGTCCTAGAAAAGATGTTTGAAAATCGCAGGATCTAACAAAATCGTAGTGACCATACTTCAAGACTAAAATCAATCATCATTCTCCAATCGGGTATAACCTAGAAAATTCTCACCAAAATACAAGCATAACTAGTCTGTTGACTCGTCATGCAAAAATCTATACAGTTAGACTTAACTTCCAGTTAACTAGCTCTTAACATTCATTAAAAGTTCCAGTGGTTCTTATCAAAAGAATAATAAACAAGGCATTCAAGGCTAGGTATTCAAAGGGCTGTTAAAGGGTGAGGTTTTATGTGTTTAGGGTTACATTGATCTCTGAAGAAGCAATATATTATGCAAAACAGCAAGAAAGAATGAAGCTATTGATATCCACAGTTTCCAGTCACATTCTTCTTACCATAAGATATTTGATCTTCCTTTTCAAATTTCTCCTCATAATTCCCCCATACTTAGATTTTTTTCTAGGTTGTAAAACCATAACTCCATAGATGAATACTTGTCGCTTTTACTCCAAATAATTTCGGCAATCGAAGACTCTTTAGGCTTTTGTGTCATTTCCTTTCATTTTTTTTTATCTTTTTCTCTTTTTTTTTTTCTTGTTGAAAGGGAAAACATCTTTAGATATTTACCATTAAGAATGAGCTTTCTGAAGCACCATTAAGCTTGATAAGATAGCTGATACTCTTCCTTCCCAATTCCATTCAATCTTTCTCTTAAGTGACTGAAAACTGTGTTGTTCCTCCCTATCTGGCGTTTTTGCACATATCTGCCGATAAAAACTAAAGAGAAAATGCATGAGGGTCGAACAAAAACGGTTTGGGTTAAGGGTATGATACCAGCTAAAGATGAACTAGCCATCTAGGACAACAAAGAGTAGTGAAAATGATGGAAATATGTCCTAGATGTATATCTTGATACCTGCCTAAAATCAATAATGAGAAAATTAAATGTCAATATTAAGTTCAAGTAAAAAATGAGCTAGTATATCCTGTTAGAAAAAATCTCCATGAATAGAAGTCATCTGGTGGGAGTTTGTAGTGCAAGTACTCTAGCTACTGCCTAGTCTAGTACTAATCATAAAAGAGCTATCATGTATAACCTAGAAGCATATATGTCAAAATCATCATAGTTTTGTGTCAAACATTCCTGAAAAATACTAAGGGTCTGATTGGCAAATTAACTTTAAAAGCTTTTAGGGCTTTGAAACAAAAATAAAAGAACTCAGATGTGCTAGTGCAGAATTTGTAAGCGAATCCAATGGGGTCAATCTGCGTTCGGGATATGGTTCTGTCTCTGGAGAACTGTGTGAGCCAAAACTCGCACAACCAAATCTTGTAAAAAAATTCAGAGGGATCTGAATTCTCTAGGGTTTTATCGCAAGAACACAAAGATCAAAAGAGGTTTTTATTGCTGTGAAATTGTTTGAGTCTTATTGCTATTGGGTTGCAAAAAGTTACATAATGAATTCTCTACATCAACTATTTATACGAGTCCTACAAACCCCCCTAGCCGAGAATCTCGAAAAGATTCTCGGAAAGTTTTCTTATCCTTTTATGTGGCCGCCGCCTCAGACTTTCACCTAGGGTTAAATGATGTGCTATCTTTAATGGGCTTCACAGTGTCACGGCCTGACCTACTCAACCTTCGGCTCAGTCACAAAATTTCATTGGACCTGGGCTTTGACTCGGTCCAAAGTAGCATGGCTCGGTCCAAATCTTTTCTTGTTGCGGCTCAGTCCAATCATCCAGTTGTACGGCTTGATTCTTTTCTTGCCTGACATAGCTCATCCCGATCTCCTGCTCTACATGGCTCGGCCCATTTCTCGCCTGACATGGCTTAGCCCAATCTCCTGCTCGACATGACTCGGTTTACTAAGATGAACTCGGTGAAGCCCATGCTGATACTTAGTCGATTTTTTGGGAGCTAAGCTCAAAGGAGTAAAATCCAACCCCAACAGGTAGCCTCCCAGCTCGTCAGTTCCAATGGTGGAAATGTTGAGGTGAGGGTCTCGAATCTAAGGTTAACTGTCGAGTTGAAATCAGACTTAGGAAAATATCTGTCGTGACGACCGAGGCGAGGCGTGACGGGACTGAGATATGTCTTTGTCGAGCCGTGTTAGGCTAGGTTAATCTGGAATCCGCCGAGGTGAAGCGTGGTGGAGCCTAGGTGAGTTATTGCCGAGACCATCATAGTTTAAAATGTTACCGAGGCGTAGCGTTCGAAGTTTCCAAATTTTTTGCTTAATGCCGAGGCGTTCCCGACAGTATTATACCAAGGCGTGAAAGAAGGTTAACGCTTAATGTTTGTTAAACTAATTAACGCCGAAGCCTTCTTTCGAGAGTCATATCGCCGCGGTGTGCTTCTGAGATAACTGATGCCAAGGCACACATATTTTTAAGAGACAATGCCGAGGTGTGTATGAGACGAGTAGCGCCGAAGAGTTTCTCACAAGAGATAACGTCGTGGTGTGTTTAAGGTGAATAACGTCAAAGCGTGTGCAAGATGGATTACGCCGAAGCATTTTTGCATAAAAAATAAAGCCGAGGCGTGCTTAAGATAAATTACGCCGAGGCGTGTGTGGGATGAATGACGCCGAAGCGTTTTCCATAGGAGGTAACACCGAGGCGTGTGCAAGAAGACTCCAAAACGTGTGCACGAAGACTCCGAAGCGTGTATAAGACAATAAATGCTGAAATGTTCCGTTCTCATTCGAGAAAGCGTTAAGGCTGAGGAGCGTGGCTTAGACGAAACTCATCATTGGTTCTCTCTGGTCAAATAGCTGTTACAGACCTTACGCGTTGTAATTAAGATTTTTGCTATTTCCCGAGGTTACTGCAGACCCCACATGCCTCGAAATCTCTATATAAGGGGCGCTTACCCTCTGATTCTCCTCATAACTTCAGATTTCCAAATTCACAAAAGGTAGCTCTCCCTTCTCTTTTCTTTCTCTCTCTAGTTCAGTTATTTTTGGGCTAGGATTTATCGTCGTCGACACCGCGTCTCCGCTGCGCCGTTGTATGCTGCCGATCCTCCTTCCGAGGAACTCTGATCTAAGAGTTTCCTGTACCAGCGTGTAGTGTTATGACGAGTCGTTCGAGCAATTCATTGAATAGTTTATTTAATTACGAAGCGCGCCCTCTCAATGACGAGGGATCAAGACGAGCCCCTAAACTAGTTCTGTTAACAGCGAGGCATCGGCTTCGACGAGCCCTTCTGTCGACGACGAGGCATCTGCTTTGACGAGCTTCTCTCGGGGTCCTCTTCTCATCCAGACGAGGTCGTAGATTACAGGAAACTTTCCTGTTTGATCTAGTCGAGGCGAGAATTGAACTGGAATGTCTGATGGCGAGCCGAAGTGCTTCCACATCAGGACAGAAAACGGAATACAGAGGAAAAAGACAAAAGCCCGATCGGCCCGGCTCGACTCTTTCGTCCCGGAATCCCTCGAGGCGTTACGATCCCGCATTGGAATTTCTGAGGCGGTGGAGTTTGTTCTGCCTATTAAAGCTGACCGAGCCGACAAACCTCCTATAAATCATTTTACCGTGTATGAGCCTTTCTTCGAGTTATGCTTTCAATGGTTTCCAATCCCCAAGGTGATCCTTCAATATCTATGAAAACACGAGATTTTGATTGGACAGATTATTCCAATGGGATTGCGGCATATGATAGGCATCCTGGTTTGGAGCTTTGAATGCCGAGTTGACGTCAAGCTCAATCATCTGATGATTTTTTTGGAGATCCGGAAGGCTCCGGGAGGGCAGAGGTTCTATATCTCTAATAAAGCGAAGCGTCAGATTATTGGTGGCTTCCCGAGCAAGGATAGTTTCTGGACCGAACGCTTCTTCTATATTATGGTGAACGAGGAGAATTCAAGCAATGATTTCGTTCATATGACCAAGTCCGAGTGGGGACCATTTTGTAGCCGACCTGATATAAGATTGGAGTCACACCAAATCTTATAATTCACAAGGTTGTCAAAGACAACAAGTTTTATGCGGAAGTGGACGATGATAGAGATGAAGGATGGTGGTTTTGATTGACTCCCTCAATCGGTGGTGATTGACTCTCTGAATCTGTGAACAAAATAGATTGTTTGAATCTCACAAACAAGCTAAGTCGCAGCCTCTTAAGAGTTAAGTGAATCTCACACTTAAATCTAAAGAACAACAATAACCTTTGCAAAGAACAAATTTGAAAGAAAACAAAATACTCTGTATCAATTTGATTGAAAGGTAATTTTTTACAATGGACTATAAGGAACTTATATAATGCTCTTACACGTTCTAAAAATCTAAAGACAAAGAAACAAATCAAAGCTAATCAAAAACTAGCCGTTAGGCTCTAAATGAGAGAATCTCGGCCAAATATGAAAATGTGATGACACCTTTGTATCTGGAGGGTTTTAGGGGATAAGTGAGCTTCTCTGGAACATTCTGATCTTCATACAACACGTCCAAGTCGTAGCATACAAAGGAAAAGAACCGTTGGTGATTAATGGCACCAAGTGTGAATGCGACCACATAAGGAAAGTAAGCTTGCAAGAGGATCCGCTTGATCCTGTGGGTGCTGGTGCATGGGAAGGTGTTTCTAAGCTTCTTTAGTTTTCTTAGAGTCTCTCCTGGGCGCCAAACTCTTGTAGATAGCAAATTAAACCAATCAGAGCTCGGACCTGCCATAAATGGAACCAAGTCAACCCGTTTTGGGAAATTGGGTGTAACTTGAGGATCTAATGGGCAATTCTTCGGATCTTGAGCTTGTTGGATCCAGGAAAGAGCTAACAATATTATCCAAGTACTTTTGGGCTGAGAACATGGATGAGTTGGGCTGTAGAGTACGATCTTCAGCCTAGGTGTGCAATTGGGTCTGAAACAAATCTTCCAACTTGTAAAGTGAATAACTTCCCAACCATAACCGGTATTGGTTTGATTCTAATTGTCTCTGAATCTATGATGAATCAAAATCGGGAACAAGTCGGTTCACAGCTTAAATCCTCTTGGTTCAGTCGGAAACCTCCAAATAAGGCACGTATGTCCAAATCATAGAAGTTGTGCATTACCTGATTTGTAAACTGAATAACTCCTTTCCAATAGCTCCAATTGGACTGATTTCACTTTGAGGAGTTCACTGGGTGAGATAGAAATGTAATACAAGTGTTAGCCGAGCTATACCAGTTTATCTCGGACTTCCTCAGTGCTGAATAAGGTGTATGGGTATTCTTGGGTGGCTTGAACATGCTTTGGCCAAGAGTTTGAGTTGATTCTTGGGTAACTTCACTTCTGGATCGACCCAAAAGTGTTTTGGCTAGATCATATCCTGATGACATTTGGTTGGTGAAACTCCAAGTTTTCACCTCTGCTTCTGTTGGGCTCGCCTTTATGCTCCATTGTTTTCTTGGTTCAACTTCTATAAGGCATTTCTCTGCTTCGGATGGGCCGTCTGGTTCGTCTAAGGTCACTGGGGTCTCTTTGTGATGGTTTGCTGGGTCGATGACCACATCATACCATCCCCTTGGAAAATTTTCGTCCTTTAAACTCCTTGACCTGCACCAAGAGAGAGCAAGTTAGTATCATGCTTTTCCTGAGGGTTTAGAGAGTTACCTTGGGTCATGGTTTTCTTGTGGCTTGGGTTTGGTTTATGTTGGGTTTCTGGTGGTTCTTCTTTGATCAGTAAAGAAGCAATGACGACTCTCTTATGTCTGTTGCTGACTTCTTTGGGCAGCAAGTTGTTTGTCTTTGTAAAATACTCATTTTCACAAATGGCATTTATACGGATTTCTTGCTGTAGGATTTCTTGTGGCTCCTCGTCAATTCCTGCAAGTACCATTTCTTTTTGGGCAAAATAAGTGTGTTATAGCGATCAAAAGATTTTTACGAGCAATGGAACATGTTTGTTTTTGGAACACTTGTTCTAATCTCTTTTTCATGTCTGGTTCCATATATGAAATGCATTCTACCAAGACTTCTTTTAATTCAATTTCTTCTGGATTTAATGAGTGTAGTAGCACAGAACTCAAAGTGTTGGAATTAAATGGTGCTAAGGAACTACTTACCTGATCAGAACTGTCGTTAAGTTCTGTTTCCTTCGTTGCCATGGATTTTGAGTTCAGCTTGTAATCTGGTGGCTCTTCTTGGATAGTAATGAAGCTGGTGGCAACTTCATCTTTCTTATTCAATGCCTTGTGGTCTACTGCCTTCACAGTGAGCTCCAATTCATGTTCTAGACCTGAAATATCAACCTTTGGCAAATGCAAGTGCTTTATACTAGAATTGGAAATTTCAGAATACAATTCAACTACTTCTCTAGTTTCTTCTATATCTGGTTCAGTTGGTGAAGTTGTTTCTGAGTTTCTAGCTGGGCAAGTCTTAGCAAAACGTCCTCTTTGATGACATCTATAACAGATTGTTTTAGAGAGTTTAGATGGCTTACATTGTTCTGTGTTGACTTGTGGCTGACACTTTGGTTTTGTGCCCTGCGTTTGAGCTGCATCAGGTTTTTTGGTGTCTGGTTTAATTTCTGTTTCCCCCACTGGAATCTTAACCTCTGTCTTCTTTTCTAAAGTTCCTTGAGACACTTTCTTTGGCTCAGAAAAGCAGGATTTCTTTGACTTAGGAACAGGCTGCGGTTTTGGTGTAGACATGCACCTCTTTGTAGCTGTCTGGAACATTAGCCTCTTGGGAATGTAGCTGCGGTTGTGGGACTTCTGTGCAAACTCTCTGTACTTACGCTGCTTGAGATTATCCCAAGTGATGGTAGAATTATTATAATTGGCAACAACTTCTTCTTGTTCCCACCATGTAGTAGCTTCTCCAACAAGTGAGTCAAGTGCATATGAAAGTCTCTGATTCTTAGGAATGTTTTGTGACCTCATCCTGTACTCCGCTCTCCCACTGTAGGTAAGCTTCTGGACCTTGTTCATGACGTGAAAAGTAGATGTGGCGTGGCTCATCATCTATCGCATCATCTGTTGTTACATCATCTGGCTGGTCTTGTTCGATGTAGTTGATGTTGGCTTCGTTTGGCTCTTAATCCTCCTCTTCAAGATCTGGTTCATCAACCATACTATCTTCTGGCTCTATTTCGTCTACCTCATGCTCTGCCTCATCTCCAATGTCAGTTTCAGATTCGATCTTGTTGTACCAAGGCTCACCTTCATATGAATCAGTTTCTCCTAAACTGATTTGAGGGTCGGTTTCTTCACACCATGGTTTTTGGTGTTTTATCATGAACTGGTCCTGGTTAGAGTCTGGTGGTTCTGGTTCAGGGTTGTCTTCATCAGAATCTTCTCCATAGTAAGAGCTTAAGTTATCATCTCCTGGCCATGGGGGAGACTCATAATCAGCCTCCTCATCAGACAAGGCTAAACTCTCTTCTTCTTGACTCCATTGGTCTCCATCAAATTGGTACTGATCTTCTTCTTTTGATTCAGCCATGGCTGCTCTTTTTAGGGTTGGTACCTCGCAAAAAAACAGAGAAAATATTAATCAAATTCGTTTTTACACAAGAAAGGAAAGAATACAAAACAGAAAAAAGGGTAAAATGATTTCTTTTCTTTGTTCTTTTTTAATTTATTTTTTTAACTAAACAATTTCGAAAATTCAAATAACAAAATGGAAATTTTTATTTTGCTTTTCTTGTGTAATAAGAAAAAGAATTCAACAAACGATATTTTTTTAATGGTTTTTAAAAAAAAATAAAAAATAAAAAATAAAAAATAAAATTCAAATAACAATGAGTAAACCAAAACAATTGAAAAGTCGCTGAATTAAAAAAAAAAACTTTTTATAGGGTTTTCTGAGATTGAAATAAACAAAGAACTTTTTATGGCTTTTAAGATTTATCAACACAGAAGCAAAACAAAACGAACTTTTTTTTTAATAATGAAGCAAAATAATGGAAACAGAATTGAAAACAGAATTGAGAACAAAAACAATTTTTGTGGATTTTCAATTTATGGTAAAACAAAGACTGAAATGAAATAACAGAAAGCAAAAGACAAAGAACAAAAGCACCTTATAGGAACTTGTGCTCTGATACCAAATGATATAAGATTGGAGTCACACCAAATCTTATAATTCAAAAGGTTGTTAAAACCAACAAGTTTTATGCGGAAGTGGGCGATGATAGAAATGAAGGATGGTGGTTTTGATTGACTCTCTCAATCGGTGGTGATTGAATCTCTCAATCTGTGAACGAAATAAATTTTTTGAATCTCACAAACAAGCTAAGTCGCAGCCTCTTAAGAGTTAAGTGAATCTCACACTTAAATCTAGAAAACAAGAATAATCTTTGCAAAGAACAACTTTGAAAGACAAAAAACTACTCTGTATTAATTTGATTGAAAGGTGAGTTTTTACAATGGACTATGAGGAACTTATATAATGCTCTTACACGTTCTAAAATCCTAAAGACAAAGAAACAAATCAAAGCTGATCAAAAACTAGCTGTTAGGCTCTAAATGAGAGAATCTCGGCCAAATATGAAAATGTGATGATGCCTTTGTATCTGGAGGGTTTTAGGGGATAAGTGAGCTCAGGGCCGGCCCAATAGGTTTGGACGCCTAAAGCCCAAAAAAAAAATTTAGCCTATAAAAAAAAACTTCACAAAATGCTGCCTTAGGGCTTGAACCCTGTATCAGTAGCCGCATGATTAGAGTATTAACCACTGCACTACAACACATTTTCAATTATTTAGGCCCTTAACAAATATATATATTTTTGGCGCCTGAATCAAAAGCTTTACCAGCTTTAACCCAGGACCGGCCCTGAGTGAGCTTCTCTGGAACATTCTGATCTTCATACAACACGTCCAAGTCGTAGCATTCAAAGGAAAAGAGTTGTTGGTGATTAATGGCACCAAGTGTGAATAAGGCGACATAAGGAAAGTAAGCTTGCAAGAGGATCCGCCTGATCCTGTGGGTGCTGGTGCATGGGAAGGTATTTCTAAGCTTCCTTAGTTGCCTTAGAGTCTCTCCTGGTTGTCAAACTCTTGTAGATAGCTAACTAAACCAATCAGAGCTCGGACCTGCCATAAATGGAACCAAGTCAACCCGTTTTGGGAAATTGGGTGTAATTTGAGGATCCAATGGGCAATTCTTCGGATCTTGAGCTTGTTGGATCCAGAAAAGAGCTAAAATTATTCTCCAAGTAATTTTGGGCTGATAACATGGATGAGTTGGGCTGTAGAGTACGATCTTTAGCCTAGGTGCGCAATTGGATCTGAAACAGATCTTCCAACTTGTAAAGTGAATAACTTCCCAACCATAACCGGTATTGGTTTGATTCCAATTGTCTCTGAATCTATGATGAATCACGAATCGGGAACAAGTCGGTTTACAACTTAAATCCTCTTGGTTCAGTTGGAAACCTCCAAATAAGGCACGTATGTCTAAATCGTAGATGTTGTGCATCACCTGATTTGTAAACTGAATAAGTCCTTTCCCTGAGCTCCAATTGGACTGATTCCACTTCGAGGAGTTCACTGGGTGAGATATAAATGTAAAACAAGTGTTGGTCGAGCTAGACCAGTTGATCTCGGACTTCATCAGTGCTGAATAAGGTGTATGGGTCTTCTTGGGTGGCTTGAACATGCTTTGGCCAAGAGTTTGAGTTGATTCTTGGATAACTTCATTTCTGGATCGACCCAAAAGTGTTTTGGCTAGATCATATCCTCCATTGATGACCTTTGGTTGGTGAAACTCCAAGTTTTCACCTCTGCTTATATTGGGCTCGCCTTTATGCTCCATTGTTTTCTCCGGTTCAGCTTCTATAAGGCATCTCTCTGCTCCGGATGGGCCGTCTGGTTTGTCTAAGGTCACTGGGGTCTCTTTGTGATGGTTTTCTGGGTCGATGACCACATCATTTTTTGGTGAACGAGGTGAATTTGGGCAATGATTTCGTCCATATGACCAAGACCGAGTAGGGACCATTTTGTAGCCTACCCGATGCCTTGCCTCGACTCAGAATCTACATATGGTTCGTTGTGGTTTTTTTACTTATGTTTTTGTTTCTTCTTTTGCAGTTTGGAATATTCTCCCTCCAGTTCCTGACGATCTGTTTGCTGTTCGAGATACTTTAGCCTCTAGATTGATTAATTGGAAACGTCACTTTTCACTTGAGAGGCTAGAAGGCCCGATCCATACTAGTCGGGGTTCCACCTAGCTTAGGATCGTCCAATTCTTCAGGAGATACTCGGGACAAAATGGTTATTGTGACTCTCAGAGACATGAAGAGGCGGGAGGCCGAGGAGGCTGCCAGACGAGCTGCTGAGGCCGCCAAGCAAGGCGAAGAAGCAACTGTTCAGGAGGATTCGCCAAACCTTGAAAAGACAAATGACAAGATCCCAGATATTTGTACGAGCAGTGCCGAGGAAAAAACTGCAGAGGAGAAAGCTGCTGAGGAGAAAGCTGCCAAGGTGGAGCAAGGAGAAATTCTTCCCGAGGCGTCAAAGGAAAATAGCAAAACGTATGACCTTCCTACGCCGACCGCCTCGGCGATTCTTGCACTCCCTCAATCGACGAGACCTCCTGCTTCTACTCTGATGAAGGACAAGTCCAGCCGCAAGCGTCCCACCGTGGATAAAGGAAAAGGGATCAGCACCCGGAAAGACGAGCCATCGAAGAAAAGATGCAAGGGGCCAGTGGACGAGTCAGCTCCGCAAAAGCCGTTGGTTGACGATGCGACCACTTATGCGATGTTCTTTTCGAGAGTCAAATACGCTAACGTCTGATTCCCGTCTCCTAAGAAGTTGAGGAGAGCAAAGTCCTATGCTGCAATGGCACAATGTGGCACTAAGGTAAAACCTTGCTATTTTCTTTTGCGCTTGTTTTTAGCTAAGTATTAACTCGAGCTTTAATACTTTCCTTATAGTTTGTTGCGGTTATCAACGAGCTGATGGTCGGTTATGAGTCGGATGTATGCAAGGATGAGCACCGTTTTGACGAAGGAAAAAGGCGTCTATGGCTAAGGCTAAGCTTTACGAGGCGATGTCTTGGATCAACACGCTGGAAGAGGAGAAGAGGGTTCTCCAAGTTAACTTTGAAAAGGCCGCGACTACGGCTGCTCGTCTCGAGGAGGTTCAGAGAAAGAGGGGGTGCTGAAATTGCTTCACTGAAGATGCGCATCTAGGCTAAGGATGCCTTGCTTGAGGCTCAAGTGAGATGAGCTCGTAAAGAGGCGAGGCATGAAGCAATTTTTAAGTACGATAAACGCTTCTCCATGGTGGAAAAGGCTATCGAAGAACTCTAGAAGGCCAAGAACGACGAGAATGAGAGCGGCCAGATCAAGAGTAACCTTGCCATGATCGATGAACTCCAAAAGCCCGATGCTCCGACTCTTGATGCTGAGGAGGAAAAGTTGAAAGGCTTGGAAGCCGATTATGCTGGAGCTGATGTGGCTTACGAACGCATCGCAACTGAGCTCAGGGGCAAATTGGTTTTTACCCCAGTTTTGCCGGAGTCCGTGGACTCCTGCTTCGGAAATGAGTCGCTTAAGGATGCCGTGGCTAACGTCGGGGTCTCAGATCCCACCGGATCGAATGTCGGCACTCCGGGTATCACGAACCTCCTCGCCGAGAAAGAGCCACGGACCAAAAATTGATCCTCGCTTGATCCCTCGGTTTTATCCGTTTTACTCTTGTCTTTTGAACCTTTGTGTGCCTGGATGGCTTTAACCAAATCTGTTTTCGAATGATGATTTTGTTGACTTTAAAGAAATTTTTTGCCTTAGTCGTTATTTGCATGTATTCGTACGACGCGTTTTTATGAAATGGAGTCTTACTACGACAAACCGTTTTAGATTTGAATTCTTGAACGACGAGATGAGGATAAAACAGATATTTTCTGAGTTGTAATGTGTTAAAGACCAGCTTTTCTGAGCTGGTAGATATGTTTCTGAGTTACCTTGACAGTTAACCATGACGAGGCTGGAAATGTGTTTTTAGCTAGGTTTCTAGAATTCAATTCGGTCTTCAGGGAATGCGATGTA